ATAATGGTGTTCTGACTTACCAGACAAAGATCTCAGATAATCTGGAAGTTTATTTAGAAAATGAGACAGTTTAATGTGGGAGGAGATGCATTTTCTCTCACATATATTAGAATAAATGAGTTTAGTTTAGGAGAGGCTTGTTCTGTTTCTGGTCTTAATCATTCTTTTTGGCTGTTATTGCTATTACCATTATATGTCACTCTTTCTTATAATTCATAATTTAAATATATATATATATATATAAAATCCATAATTTATGTGCTCCTATTACGAACTATATACTTGAAAAATTATTAAATGTTTGATGTAAAGATAGAACTTGAATAATTTTTAAAACAGAACAGCAACACACAACAATTCTCTGAGTTGTAAAAGGCCTCATCTCAAAGCTCTTTAAAGAGGAACTATTCCATCCATTCAGAATATTTTAAAGAATAACCAGCTCTATGTCATAAAAATAAAGATCTTAAGTTCAAACTCTGAAACTTCAAAGGAAAATAAATATGAAGTAAAAGCATTGTCTTTGTGTTTCTCTTTAAATCACTTAATTTGTCTCTCCTGAATTTATTTATATCATCTAGTCTTTGAAAAATAAAAATTAATATAAAAGTGGAACATAAATCTGAGACATAGTGCAACTGCTGATGAAAGAAAGATAAAACATAAATGTATTTTCTGTGCATCTACTTTAAGTAACTATTCAGGTAAATAAATTTGTAATTTCCTAGCACCATTCTTCAATATACCTCATTCTTTGTACCAAATCCATTTTATCACAGTATAAATGAATTTATAGTTATAAGATATATAATAGCTGGAATGATCAAAATATTGGATGTTCAAACTTTAGAACTCCTTAGATATGTTAAATATTTTGTTTCAATTTTCTAAATAACTAGCACCTGTGTTAATTTACGTTTTCACAAAGACTAAAGCTGAAGAATGATGCAATTGCTTCTGCTCTACATTGCTTTATTGTCTGTGTTTTTCAATGTTTATTCATTAGCCTGAATATGATTTTAAAGTCATGTGTAGAAAGATACGGTGTTAAAAGAGTTTATATTACATCCAAAGCCATTATAAACTAAGATGAAAGTAAAAACAATAAAAATCATTCAGCTCTAGTTCTTTACATATGTTTTTAAATGACTTCTTTGTTTTCTAAAAATCAATTACAGGTGCGTTCTGTCCTGTTGTCTCAGATCTCAGGGTATGGTTGTACTGAACACACAGAGGAAACTTAGAAGTATAATGTGCTGGGTTTAGATAAAAGTTTAAGTATTCTCCTTAAATTGGTTCTTTGTAGAAAGCTTTGTGGCCTAGAGATTTATGCTGACACTTAATTCTATAATTTTTATAAATACACAGAACAATAATGTTGGGTTTTATGAGCCTTTCTGCAATACAATGAGTACTTGAGAAAAAGAATTATTAAACTCCAAATTTTTTTCTACTGGCTTTCATACGAGTGAATTCTGTATCTTTGCCTATGTTGTGTACAATTCAAAGGCAAATATTTTGCACTTTTTAGTCCTCATTTATCACAGAGTAGTCCCCAAAATACTGGTATGTTGGGAATCTAATTTTTAAAATTCTGGCAACTTCAAAAGAATAAAAACAAAAATGCATATATAGGAAGATACCTAAGGCAAACAAATAATAAAATTAAGATAAGGGAAACTATCAATTCAAGCCACAGCCACAAATGTTGATAATTCTAAGTTGCATGCTCAAGATTTTGCTTCTCTATCACTCAGAATTTCTCCATGGATGCCTCTTCCAAATATGTCCCTCCAAGGGAAGGCTGTGGTGCTGATGGGCAAGAACACCATGATGTGCAAGGCTATCCGAGGGCACCTGGAAAACAACCCAGCTCTGGAGAAACTGTTGCCTAATATCCGGGGGAATGTTGGCTCTGTGTTCACCATGGAGGACCTCACTGAGATCAGGGATGTGCTGCTGGCCAAGAAGGTGCCAGCTGCTGCTCGTGCTGGTGCCATTGCACCATGTGAAGTCACTGTGCCAGCCCAGAATACTGGTTTGGGACCTGAGAAGACTTCCTTCTTCCAGCCTCTGGGCATCACCACTAACATCTCCAGGGGCACCCCTGAAATCCTGAGCGATGTACAGTTGATTAAGACTGGAGACAAAGTGGGAGCCAGCGAGGCCACCCTCCTGAACATGTTGAACATCTCCCCCTTCTCCTTTGGGCTGGTCATTCAGCAAGTGTTTGTCAAAGGCAGCATCTACAACCCTGAAGTGCTTGACATTACAGAGGGAGCTCTCCATACTCGCTTTCTGGAGGGTGTCCGCCATGTTGCCAGCGTTTGTCTTCAGATTGCTTACCCAAATGTCGCATCAGTGCCCCATTCTATCATCAATGGATACAAGCCGGTCCTTGCTTTTTCTGTGGAGACTGATTACACCTTCCCACTTGTTGAAAAGGTCAAGGCCTTCTTGGCTGGTCCATCTGCATTTGTGGCTGTCCCCCCTGTCACTGCTGCCACCACTGCTGCTCCTGCTGCTGCAGCTGCCCCAGCCAAGGTTGAAGCCACGGAAAAGTCAGAGGAGTCTGATGACGATATGGGATTTGGCCTCTTTGACTGATCACCAAAAAGCATTCAGCCTGCCTGAATGGCAATACAGGAATAAAGGCATAATTTTCTTCATAAAAATATTGCTGGCTCTATATTCCATATTTTCTAATGTAAAGTGCACGTGTTAGTCAAAATCGTTTTCCTATAATAAAATGAAGGGAAAAAGACTTCTGTCATACAGAATCAGGGCATTTTACACTACTCTTAATGAAGAGTGTTCTGTCAAGAAATAGCTTATCTTATAAAAGATGTGCTTACCCATAATAATTTAATTTGTATACACACACAACAAAATGAAGAGTGGACTCAATTTTAGGACAAAGTTTATCACCAAGCACAAGAATCATGAATGTTGTGCTCCACAGCAACACCTTCTGTGCCTTACAGCCTGAGTTCTGTTTTCTTCCTAGATGGACCTCGTATTTACTGCTGCCCGAAGGACTATGTAGTTTGTTATTGCCTCTCACATCTAGTTTTCCTTATTTCATATTTTTTTCCAATAAACGCCTGCTTTCAAAACTATGTTTTTATAAATCTGTAGAAAAGCAAATCTTAAGGTGTATCTCTTATTCTCCTAGAAATGTGCCAATATGAAAGTAATGTAATGGTTACTATTAATTTACATCACTCTTCAAGGTCTGATATTTCTTGATGACCAAAATAATGGTGATGATGATGATAAGAACAACAATAACAACAGTTCTGTGAATTCAACAAGAATGAGTCAAACCTCAGGAAGGGATTTCTAGGTGGTTCTTCCTCTGCAGTGTTCTTTCTCCCTATATTCTTTCTAGCATGCGAAGTTTGAGGATCGTTCTGTGCAAGCCTCCACAATGGAATACATCCTGCTACTTTGACCTGTAAAAAAAGCTTTAAAAAAATGATTATAGCAGAATTGTACTGTGTGAAAATCACAGATAATATGTATGTATGTATGTCCCAAGTGAATTGTCTCTATGTATGCTCTTGACTTCTAAAGAACAATTTATATGATCTGACAAGACATAAAATACAAATATGGAAAAATATAAACAGAAAAAAGTAGTCTTTGTGAGAGTAAAATTAAATACAATTTTAAAAATATTATGTAGAATAATTACTTTTAGATTATATATACAGCTTGTTACATCCCATAAACGTTTATTTAGAACCTCATGTCAGATCATGAGCCTGCATCTGAAAATTTCATTATGAAGCTTCTCATTTATTTTAACATGAAAAAATATAGGCCTAGAAGTGTATGCCCAAGAGTGCTTCGGTATGATTGAGTTCCAGGGAAATTGTAGAGTTTATAAACTATAGGGTGAGCTCTGAAGAAGTGGTAAGACACTGCAAATCACACTATTTTATAGTCTAAAATTGTCTGTTGCAACATAATAATCAAAATACAGGATCAACCTAAGTGTTCATTATCAAATTAGTAAGTAGAGGACATGGGATATATATGTATATTCAAAACATAAGGTGAACACTAAAATAAAAAAAAAATGGACTAAAAGCACATTGCTGTGAATGCTTTTTTTAAAAATCGAGATTATTGGTACATTTTAGGCCTACATTACAGTTACATTCATCATTGGGATCTTGTACCTTTACAAGACAGGTCTCGGTTCTCCTTTTTTCCCCTTGTCCCTGCGCTCCCTTCATGAATGTCTTTTAATCCACCTCTTTTCAACACATTCATCCCATCGCTCTTTCCACTTCCAGAAGCAGTTCTTCAAGTCCTGTGCTGCGAATATCTTTACACTGTCTTGACTGCCTCCATGTCCTGAACTGATTGAAAATGCTATGTTTCATGATCATTTTTACTTGGAGGAATGGCCAGTTTCACAGCACCAAATCCGGTGACATAAAGTAGATAAAGACATACTGTAATAATTTTATTTCACAGAAACTGGCGTAAGCACAAATTAAATTGTATTCAGCCATTTAAAATAATGAACTTCTGCCATTTGCAGCAACATGTATAAACATGCAGGGTATTGTGATAAGTGAAATAAGCCAGGCACAGAAAAGCATAGATTGCATGATCTCAGTTACATGTAGAACATTTTTATGTGACTATAGTTAGTTAAGATATATTATATTCTTCAAAAATGTTAAAAGAATGGATGTTACATATTCTCTCCTAAATCCAAAGTTATGAGGAAGATAGTTTCAATCAGATCTAGCTGTGGAGTATGGTTACTGGGGATGGAACTCAAAGACTGAATGCTAGTTTTTGTAATTAAGAGAGAAAACATCATCCCAGTCCTGAAATAATAGAGGCAAAAAGAAAGTTAAACATAGACATTTGTGGATCAAGACATACTTTGGGGAACCACATTAGAATATAAATGTCAATTCATAGGAAATTAAAATGGGAAATAGACCAAATTAGAAATATCTCAAAAACAGGGTGGAGTTGACTTGAAGTCATTACTACCAGAAGTGTGATATTGTTCAATACTAGTGTTAGTGACGGACTGAAATATTAAACATGATGTGAGAATTAAGCAAAGATCAACCAAAGAAGGACAAGCCCAGATTAATATTTGGAGCTTATTATAGCAAGGGAATAAGGCATTATCACATAGGTTTCATAAATATAGAAATGGTGGATAAAGAATAGGAACATTTTAAAGAGGAAAAATATAAAGAGCATGATTTAAATGTGCCCTGATTAGAGGTAATTTTCCCTGGGTTGCTGAAAGCAAGTAATTTAGGGATGTATATTTTGTTTTTTCTGACTGACTGTGAATTGGAAATTTAAGTTAATATTAGGGAAACATGATTTTTTATGAAGTTATAGTAAATTCTGGCTGATTGTTATAGAGGTGGTGGTTTGGCTTCTCTGGCTACTGCACAAGTTGTCTTTCACAGCTTTGCTGTCCCGTTGAGTCTTGTTGCTGTCTGTACAACCAGCCTTTCATAAATTAATAGCTTTAAATTTAACAGAGGAGAAGGAGAAAATATTGAGTAAACAAGTCACCTCCCTATCAGAAGAAACAAATTATGACCACACAGTGAATGGCGATTCTGGAGTTCTTAAATAAGAACTTGAAACTTGTCATTCTTAGTTTCAATAATAAGAATCAGGTAGGGCACAATGCCCAGAACAATTGGTGTACAGAGATAAGGCTATAGGGAAAGAAATGGATACTAAGTCCAAAGAAAACATAAAGAAGCAAAACTCGAACTTCCTCCACCCCCATCATCTTGCAACCCAGGGCCTGGCACATACTCAGCAAATTGTCCACCACTGAACTATACCCAGACATTCCATAGGTTTTTATGAATGAAATGTGAACACTCATAATTATATTCTTTCTAAGGCTGTGACTAATATATTCCTAAAAATAAAAAAGAAGTTAGAAATGAATTTAATATGTGTAACGAGGAAGAGTTTGCAGAAGAAGCTGATTTAACCCTGGTGGTAAGAATCAGAAAGAAGAGATGAAGCTCTACAATTTTCATAAGGTACAAATTTCCATTACAGTATATATTTATACACAATAGTTCAAAATTATTGCCTGGGGTTTTCCCACCCCCTGGAGCATGAAATTGATTCTGAGAAGGGAATGCTTGTTATGAAAATTTTAACTCGCTGAATTAAACCTTAGTAACTTTAAAATATATATATTAATTTCACTTTATTCTAAAATAATCAGATTCTTTTTCTATTTTCTGAAAAAAGTGAGTCATTTGAAATAATTAAAGTCAGCTAAGTATTTTTTTGGGGGGTTACATTTTTTATAGGTGAGTTCATGAATTGTAGTCATACTGTTATGTATCTGATAATGCCAGCTCCTACTGGCTGAAGAAAGATTTCATTGAGGAATCCATATACACACCCAGGCTTAGTGAAAAAGAAAAAGAAACTCTCCTAAATGTTAAGAAAAAAAGTACAAAAATCAAAAAAAATTTCTCTTACAGTAATTGTTTATAGTTGCATAGATTCAGTTCACTTATATAGTTATACAAGTATGCAAATTGTTAGTAGGAAATTTAAAATGTACAATGAGAAAGGAATAAAAATATAACTCCCCAAATATGACACCACAAATAAGCTTTTTAAATGATCACATTTTAGATTTCTGCAATCAGTCTCCTTTAGATTTATTCCAGAAGATATCTAGATCTCCTTTTATGAGAGTGTGATTTGTTGAAAACTCATAGTATTTCAGATTCTCTCAGAAAATGTTACTTTCAAATATATTTGGGGAAACTGTGGCACACTCTCCCTTCTGTACATCAAGAGAGCAAGGATTCTAGAGATCCTCCAGTGTAAAAACTTGGTTGGGCCATTGATCAGCATAAATATCAGGAGAATGGACAAACATGGTAACTTAAGTATGGTAAGAATATTAAATGAAGAGTATACAAAGGGAATTCCAGGATTCTCAAAATCATAAATATTTCCATCTCAAAGGAGAAAAATTATATATGATGGCTAAGGATTTTTTTTGTTCAGGATTTACAAATAAATGAGAAATGGAACACAAGACATTTAGATGAAATAACAGGTATCAAAAATTTAGACAACAATTAGAATTACTCTATGGTCAGATTGTTAAAGTAATAAAGGGTCAGACAGTATTACTGCAAACAAAAAAGTATAATTCAGAAAAAATGAAAGCAAAATTAATTTCTATAATAAAAAGGAGAAATGGCTACAAAAATTCTCAGGAAAAAACACAAGGAGTTTTATTATTATAAAATGAGTGGTAAGAAAAATTAATGTCATCCGTTATTTATTTATTTATTTAATTATGTTTTTACTCATTCATTTATTGTGTTTGGTTTCTTATATAAGTGAAACCATGATATATTCAGAGTCTTATTTCACTTAAAATAGCAAATTCTAGTTCTATCCATCTCCTTGCAAATTTTATTATTCATTGTGGTTGAATAAGTTTCCATGGTGTAAATAAACCACATTTTCTGCAGTGGATTCATCTGATGTCAAGCATCTAGGCTGTTTCCAAAGCTTAGCTCTTGTGAGTTGTGCCAATCTAAACATTAGTGTGC